CCTAAGTAGGTTTGGCTTGGTTTCCAAGCTCCTTGTCTTCTGTAAATATGATTTATTGAGATAGAATTTACGTGTAGCAAAATTTGTTCCTTTTTCACATATAATATAGTTCATTGAGATTTGACAAGCACATATAGGTGTGTAACTTCCAACTGTGAAGAATACAAATTCCTATCATACCAAAAAGGATGTGGTTTCAGTCATCTTCCATTCCCATGGACACATTAGTCTTGTCCCTACAGTTCTGCCTTCTGGAATATTAGAGTTACCTACTATGTTGTCTTTTGTAATCTTTCACTGAGCATATGTATTTGAGATACATTTGTGTTGTGTGTATCAATTGTTTACCTTTTTGTTGCTAGTGGTATTTCATGGTATGGCGTACCTCCCCCCTTTAAGTACATCTGCCAGTAATGGGCATTTGAGCTATTTCTTGGTTTTAGCAATTAGGTTTTTCTCCCTAGTTGTGATTAATAATAGACAAGTAATTACAGCAACATCAATAATGCATTGCTTCATATCCTCATCCACGTCTGTTTCTGTTTCCCTGTTCTTTTTTCAATGGTTTACATGCATATAACCATAAAAAGCAAATATTTTTCTTGGTTGTATTGTAAATTGTGTAGTTTTTTAGTGGTTGTACTGTATTTATTGAGTTACTATTCTGTAATTTTCTAATTAGTTCTTTGTTGTTGACATTTAAGTTGTTTCTCAGTTGTAAAGAATATGCTAAAAATCCTGGTTTTTGTTGCTTGTGTTTTGTGAAATAGTCTCACTATATAGGCTGAATGCACTACTGGTATGTAGCGGAGGCTGGCCTTGAACTTGCTGTGATCCTCCTGCCTCAGCTTCCCAAGTGCTAGGATTATAGGGCCTGCACTGCCACACTCGGCTTAAAAATCCTGTTTTAAAAGTTATTTTTGGGGACAGGGATTTAGCTCAGTGGTCCTGCTGCCTGCCTCACAAGTGCAAGGTTCTGAGTTCAATCCCCAGTACCAAAAAAAAATTTTTTTTCTTCTGTAGTTTTTGGCAACAATTTACTTTCAGCACTGCAGAGGCTAAGGCGGGAGGATCACAAGTTCAAGGCCAGCCTGAACTACATACTAAGTCCCAGGGCCCTGTCTCAGAAAACAAAGCAAAACAGAAATTTTAACTGGAAGTAATAGAAATCTGTTCAAGGGAGTGGGATCAAAGATGGGGTCAGTGCCTTAAGGGGACAGAGTAGTCCTCAGAATTCAGGGACTGAAGGTTGTCGGGAGCCAAGTCAGTCACCCATCAGCCTGTCCCTGTTTTTCATTTCTGCCTCTCGGTACATTGGTCCCGTTCTTCTCTCTAAAGAGACCCGCTTCCCCTGCTTCTGGTGCCTGGAGGAAGCAGGCTGCTGCAAAGAGCCTACACCTTGTGTGCCTCAGTCCCAGGACACGGTGTGCCTGACCAGCTCCTTCAAATGGCAGGCAGAGAAAATCTGATTCCATGTGAGGTAGGCATCTGTACCAGGGCAATTTTACTAGTTTGTAGATTGGAGTTCACCTCCGTGAGTAGCAGAGCCTGTTCTCAGGGAGAGGGGCATGTGCTGAACTGAACCCACACTCGAAGCTTTCCACTTGAAGATAGCATGAAATGGCATAAAACCCATTTTTTTTTCTTTCCAAAACAGTGGTTACAGGCATACCTTTTTTTTCTTTCTTCTTTTTCTTTTTTTTTTTTTTTCAGATGAGGTCTTGCTATGTTGCACAGCAGGCTGGTGACAAACTCCAGGGTTGAAGTGATCCTCCTGCCTCAGCCTCCTAAGAGGTTAGGTGTGTACCACCTTGCCCAGCTATAATTAGGTCTTAAAAGAGGAATGAGTCAGGGGAGTATTACATGTCTATTTCTTTGTATTTAGATACTGAAAATAGTTTACAAATTTCTTCATTTTGCTCCATTACCCATGAGCAGTGTTTAATGGACAGCTGTGGAAGTCTAATTTACATGCATTATTTCAGTTGAGTCTTACAACAAGCGTTCTGTAAGATAGCCCCTTCTCAGAACCATGCATCCCAGCTGAGGTTTAGTCAGCCTGTGGAAGGAGTCCCTCGTTAGTGGGCCCTGAACACAAATGCTCCATGCCGATGTAGTTGTGTCGTCTTTTGTTTGGAAATAAGGTCAACACTGGTGTGAATGCTTTGGGGCCCAGTAGGAACTTGAACGCCTTGATTTTACCCTGAAGTACCTACCCCAGATCTGTTCCCAAATCCTGACTCAGTACTGAGTTGTGTGTGTTGTGGTCACTTTGATATTTAGGCCCCAGCATCGCCGAGGTTGGCCAGATTCTTGAGTTCCACCTGAGCTCTCCAGGGACTCGCTGTGGACCCTGGGCCTGGATGTTCCTCCTAGTAGCTTCTGAAATCTAAACAGCCACAGCTAAAAAAATCTTTGTTAATAAACTTGCCCTGGTCACCATGAAAAGCTTACTCCTCTCTGAAATAGTTTGTTTTATGAGTCTTTCAGTCATTTAAAGAACAAAACTTGAAAATCTAAGGAACTCATCCTCTGTGTACGTGGATTCTTTCCATGTGACTGTCAGGTTCAGAGAAGCTTGTAGCTGGCAGTGGTATAGTCAGTAAGGATGACAAGTAGCTCGGATTTCAGTGGTGCATCCCTGGGCCCACCCTTTGCTGTACCACAGATGCAACCAGGGGTGTCCTACCCCCGAGCTTGTGAATTTAACATTTGGGTTCTAAAAACTGTTCACAAAGCAGCCTAAGGTTCCAGGAGAGGGAGATAAAGTATTTTCCTGTAGACTGGGAAAATTGAGGTAGGAAGTCAAGCCACTATTAGCTCTGGCTCTTAATTCTGCCGTTACCTACCTATCAGTGTTGTTTGTTGGGCAAATGCTATTAACAGTGCTTAGGTCCCCGGGTGGGACCTAGTGCTAATTCTACATCATATGATCTGGGACCCAATATCTACCACAAAAAACCTACTGTAAATCCATGAGTGTGGAGAATGGTGTCAAAGCTGGTCATCATAAACAGAAGTAATTGAGGGAAATGAGACAGGCCAGATTTCTCCCTGGGAAGCCCTGCCTGGTTTTGATCCTTCATTCACATTGATCTACTTTGGCTTGTTGTATGAAGGCCACTAATGCAGATACCGGGCTTCCTTACTTGCTTCAGGAAATCCCTGCACATCTCTAGGCCATCTCTAACGACTCTGTGGCCAGCATGACTCACGAAGGCTCTCTCCCCACTCAGCTACAGTAAGGTTTGCTCATGGGACACATTACAAAATGGTTTAAAAATTCAGGTAGGCTGCAGGTGTACCTTAGCGGTAACGTACTCGCCTGCCATGTCCAAGACCCTGAGTTCAATCCCAGTACTGGGGAGGGGTATTCAAAGACATTGTCTTTTTTTCCCAATGTTTTCATTTTACTGTATACTTTGTTTTCTCTTGGATCCTCATTGGTATGTAGAAGTGAAGAGGAGCTGTAATAGTTATTTAGTCTAATTAAATTTCTCAAACCCATCTCGGGGAAGGAGAGAAGTCAGTATATGTATGTGTTTTGCACAGATTTAGGAAACTAGAAGGATAATTTTTTTTCATAGCAGATAGTTTCTCTTATGAACTTATCTTTGTGATTCTCTAATATGGATTAGTTTTGTTATGCAATCGTCAAGCAGTTTCCCTGCCAGTACTTTCTCAAGGGTACTCTGTGTCCATTTTGTTTGTCTGCTTTTTATCCCTTTGAACTTCTTTGTGATGGGTCACAGGTGGCTGTGCAGTTTCAGAAACTGGAAGAACTACTCTTCTTATTTACGGAGTGGAGGTCTGAAATGTTTTTGCTTGGTGGCTAGATCTTCTCTATCATGCAGTGATAGTGGGTGGTTAAAAAAAAAAGGTTGAACATACTGTGTCCAGTTTTTGTCCTAGTTTCTCTTTGTAGAAAAATTTAATCTACTTTGTGTGACCCAGCAGAGTACGGAGTGTGCCAGTTCCTTATCTTAATTGACATCATGGATTGCAGCCAAAAGTGCTTCCTTCATGACTTCAACACAGATGAAGCTGTCCTCTTCCCCTGGGAAGCAAGACTAGATCATTTAGTATTAGTAGATGCAATATAGCAGTCATAATTATGGATCCCTTTTTAAAAAAAATCCCCTGTGGTATAATCAATGTAGGATCATATCACAGTAAGGATTTTTAATGAAACAGTCAGTCTTGTTTTTACCTGTAGCTTTGAGACAGACTATGTAATACATTATATTGATGTGAGGTATCTTTAGACTTTTTTTAGTTCTATGTTTTTTGTTTCTAGTTTCTAGCTTTCTTTTGAATGTGTGTGTGTGTGTGTGTGTGTGTAT